TAATGACATAATTAATTTCTAAAAAAACAAATAATAAAGTTTTTTTATACATTATAATTATACCGAGTGGGTTCAGAATTTATAGTATAAAACAAAAAAAATTATAAAAAAATGTTAACTATAAAAAAAAACAAAGTAATAATTAATAAAAACAATTTATCTTCTAATATTATTATTTCTTTCACACACACACACACACACACACACCTGTGTGTGTGTGCGCGCACTTGCTCTTATAAGATTGTGTCTAAAAATTAATAATTTTAAAATATTCAAAAATAAATAAATAGTAAATACTTAGTGTTGTGGTAATTGCATAGTTAATTTCTAAAAAAACAACGATTAAAATTTTTTTATACATTAGAACTATACTGAGTAAGTTCATAATTTGTAATATAAAATAAAAAAAATGGTAACTTGTAAGAAATATGTTAAATAAATTTGAAGTTAATATACTAAAATAAAACTTGTTACAAAATTAATTTATAAAAAAACTAATTAATTCATTTGTTGAAGCAAAAGGGATTAATTTATAATTTACTCCACATTCAAAGGTTCCTTGGAGTGGACTGAGCAACACAATTTCAAAACAATTTCAACCCGTATCCCTGGATGTTACATTCTTTGCCAACACATAAAGGCTAAATGGATGAAAGCGCTTCCGAATTTTAATCGATTTGAAAATCAATATTTAATTTCAGATTTGATCTTAATTGAATTTTATTTTTGGAGCTTTAATCTATCATCTAGGCTTTTTATAAAAAAAAATAATAATAATGATTACATAAATAGCCCTATGATAGAAATCATGGGCTAGTTTTATCAATAAAATTTATCTGCAGCTTCACAAAAAATTTGAGATCATTCCAGTTATTTTTTTATTTTAATATTTATAAAATAAACAATTATATTTTTTATTTTGAAAAATTCTGTAATTTTTTTAAAAATAGACTGGATATTTTTTAATGTGTGTGTAAAATTTCAACTCAAAATATTAAGAATTGAATTTTTTTAAATGATAGTTGAAAATCATAAAATGAATTCAATCTAAATTCATTTTTTTTTCAAGAGAGATCAAACCTAAAATTAAAAGTTTATCTCGTATAAATCTCATCCAAGCCTCTCTATTTGGGCTAGGGTTTAGACGCATCACTGCTTGCATTACAAGAATACAGGATTTGAAAGACAGAATTTGAGTTATGTTGGGCATGTGGTTTGAATAGGCCCATAAAATTAAAACGCAAATTAGGGTCGCATTGAGTGTTGTAATATAATTTCCTTTTAAAAAAAAATTATTGTGTCAAAAAAATACTAATTCCTTTTGTTTTAGAAATTAGCTAGTGTTTTTTCTCACGCTACCTACAAGTCGAAAATAACACATAAAATTATTTTTAAAAAATTATTTCAATTTGACATCTCGTGTTATATTATGAATCTACCAAAATATACTAAATTAAAACTGAATAAAAATTCATTTGATTTTATAAATTTTTAAATCAAAATTTTGTATTTAGTAATTATTCTTTATATTTTCATAAATTTTTTATATTTTTAGCTAAAAAATTATTTTTCTAAACATTTTTTGCCTTAAATTTTTTAATTAAAAAATTAGAGAAAAAAATAAGGATCAAAATGATTAAAATGAAACAAAATAAAGGGATCAAAATAAAACAAAAACTTCTATGGACCGAAAAAATAATATTTTTTTAAAATCAATGCGTAATGTCATGAAAACTTTTATAATAAATATCTTAAACAAGTTTAAAAACTATAAAAAAAAAATGTTGCATAGTAAAAAAATAATACATATTATTCTAAATGAATAATACATAAAAGTCTGGATAATCAGTATTTGAAATAATATTAATGAATAGTAAGCTAACGTTTAGTTTTTTTCTTTTGTTAATTATTCAATTTCTTGACAGTTGTTAACCTATTTAATTTTATATTTTTTATTTAAAAAAATCATATTTTTATCATTTTTTATTTTTACTTATGTTTTCTTTTGTTATTTCTTAAAACAATTAAAAAGAACAAAAATAAATAAATTATAAAAATTTTAAAACTATAAAGATTAAATAATTAATTTTTAAAACAATCAAAATTAATTAATTCGTTTCTTAAACTAGGGGACTAATTTATAATTTACTCCGATTTGAGAGTCAGACACACACTCTCTCTTGACTCTCTCGACTAAACACACTCTCTCTCGCGATTACCCACATTTTTTATCTCTAGCAATTTTCCTCCGCAATTGGAAATAAATTCTGTTCCTATGCCTTTCTTTCGATTTCTGTTTGGTTATTCAGAAATCTAAACATAATAATTTGAAATTTAAATTCTAATTCTTTAAACCTCTTCATCTTAGGGTTTTGGTTTAAATTGGGGATTCTGAAATTACCGTGGGATCGTGGCTCAAAGTCGAGTTTAATAAGGTATTGATCTCTTTCTTTTTAAGAATTCTGTCCTCTTTTTATTTTGTAATTTTGTTTGTGTATGCGTAAAGAAACAGAAATTTACGAATTTTTTGAAGTGGAGTGTTTGGGTTGGAGAAATTTTGGTTTTTCCAGTGGAAAGTTCTTTACTAATTTGCGTTTCTAGGGTTTCTAGGTTGTTACTGGAGAGGTTTCAATGAATATCCATCTCAGTTACTTTTTTTTTCTTTTCTTTCAGCTACCTGCAGCAAGTAGCAGCTTAGCGTCTAGGTTTGACTAGGCCGTCATTATTTTTCAACTCATGTTCTCTGAAAATAAGATCTCCACTGGCAGTACACAGAACTACAAGAAGTTATACTCCAGTGGAAAAAAAAAATACTCGTTGATTGGCTATAGAGATGAACTGAATGAAATTGTACAAAATAATGCTGCATTGACTATGGATCTTGGCCACCACTCATGGTGCTACTACACAAGCAATTTTATTTTGTTGCATATATATACATGCGTGTAACATAAACCACTGAACATCACAGAATTATCTCATGATTATTTTTTAGTATTCTTTTTCTGTCAAGCAAAATGCCCTTTTCCTTGGTTGACTTTAGAGTACAACTTTGCCTTTCAAAAATAATGCACGGGTGTCTTGATCAGTTTAATTGGAGCTTTACTGTCTTAATCATCTACCATCATCCTGCAGTATTTTCCCTTAAGATATGTCTAATAATCTTAAATGAGTATAGCTAGATATTTTTATATAATGAGTTGCTTGATAGCTCTACAGGTTGTTTGATGTTTTCTAAAGACCATGCTGAAAAATGGAAATGGGCTTATGTAGGAATACTTTCAGTTTTAGCTTTTAGTGCTCTAGTGTTGGAAATCTTTAGATTTGTCATGTCTAGAATTCACTAGCAGATGGCATTTGACTGCTTTGTTGTTTTCCAGCAAACAAGAGGTTTTTGTTTTGTGAACGTTCAACCTTAGCTTTGGAAGGAAAGGCATAGATAGCTAGCTAGCTTCAACTTCTTAAATGTTACTGTCCAAGAGGATTTGTGTAGTTTTTCAACGTATTGTTGGTTGATGAATCTGTAAGGTAATGATCTTCCATTTATAGAAAGACAGATCTGCTTCTTAATTGGTTTATAGCCCATACAAATAAAGACACATCAGCATCTTAATTGGTTTATAGCCCATGCAGATAAAGACACAGATTGCGTCTTAAAACCTCTTCCCTCTTTAACAAGCTAGCAATGGGGAGTTCAGTTCAATATTTTCCTGTCACCCATAAGGAGTTGTCAGTAGTTATAAAGGTATGATCAGCCACCTGAATTTTTTTTTTGTTGCGCCCATGATATGTTTTCTTTTAAAGTTGCGAGAGTGTTATTCTGATTGATTTATTGTGTAACAGGAATGGCCAATTCATTGAGTTTATTCCAAATAATTTACAATATGAATTACAGAGTTGTATGTCCTCAAATTATTGAATTTTCTCCACTTTTTGTTTTTTCCTGCTTGACAGGGAAACAAAACAGATGTGGTAATTTCCAGTTATGATGACCATTTTTTGGTGAGTCTGAGAATATCATTTATTTAGTGGGCTTGTGTCTGTGTGTGGAAAAAATTGTAATGTATGACAAAAAACATATCAGGTGATTGCTACCCAAATAGGATGCATGGGCACAATCCTGCATGCCAGGTATGAAAAATTCACAATGTTACTACTTTTAAAACTTGTCAGCTAAAACAAACTATTATGGTACTAATAAGGCCACAAGGTTCTGTTTCATATCATTACCGCAAGGCCAATTGTTTTTATTTTATCTTATTGCTGCTTTGATTGTGGGATCAAGAAACAACAACTTTCAAGTTTATTGAATTAACTGCCCTTTTTCTTTGATGTAGCTAATATCACAATTAACACTATACTGTCAAGTAGTTTCCTAATTTTTTGTTCATTTTTTTATATGTCCAATGAGATTGATATTTGGATAGGATATGGTTATGATAGATATTTTGAATTTTATCTCTTTTTTTATTATTATTACTTTTATTTGAAGATCCATATGGTTTATTATAACTGTATAACTGGTTAATTAGCTGCCTAGAACGGGGGTGCTGGGGGCTGTCCCAAATCTCAAATCAATCATTCTACCTAAATAAGAGTTAGGGATAACAATGGAGGTGGAGGATGACCACTCTGCTGACTCCTTCTAACCTCCATATTTGTCGAGGGTAATTTTCAATCCTCCATACGAGTCTTCATTTGGGCAGACGTCCAATGGAGGTTCACGAATTTCTTTTTATAATCCATTTCATTAAATAAAGTACACAACTCTTCAAAAAAAAAAAATGTTCAGAAGTATCGAACAAAGTTGATCTAGGTAATGTTAGGGGAAAAAAAAAAAACCTATGCATATTGTATTAGATATGTATTGGCAAATTATAAATATAATAAAACATTTATATATAAATTTGGGTATGGAGGTTCATCAGATCGAAAGATACCAACTCCACCTCCATGCCTAAATCCCTTGGTTATTTTTACCTGCCTCCGCCTTCGCCTCCATGGGGACCAAAGGTATGATAGATCTATATGCTTCGACTGAGGTGATCAAGAATTGGTTCTGTGTGGTGGGCCTAAGGCAAATTCCTCTTTATTGAAAGGGTGAGAAAAAAGGGTTAAGAACTTAAGATATTAAGTATTTCCTAAGATGTATGATATATCTCAAATGAGAAGATGATAAACAGTTGTTTGTCAACCTCTTTTAGGGGAAAATCTGTAGCAAGAATCCTAGAATTATTAATCATTATATTAAGCAGAAACATATCTCATACCTATGCATATTAAGATTATGTTAAAGAGTAGTAGACTCAAAGGGTAGTTGTTAGTGGATTTTCTATAATATACTCTGCATTTGTTGCTAGGAAGGAGGAGAGCATGTCAATCCATCCAACCTTCAACGTGTCTGTAATCTTTGGCAAACGTGATGAGGTAAGCCAACAAGCCAGCCAGCCTGCAGTAGTTCTTGTTAGTTTGGTTATAACTTGTGATTGATTTTGGGTGATTTCAAAATTGTGCAGCAAATGCTTGTCGCTTGTGCTAGACAACTAATTGAACATATAAGGTATGCCTTTATTTAGCATAAATTATTTAAACAGGTCAGCTGTCCTGTAATCACTGCTTTGTCTCTGCCTAAGGTACCTCTGAAATGAGATATTTGTGTGTGTTTGTGACATCTCCTTGTATCGGTTCTAAATATCCTTTTAACTAACATTGAATCTCATTTGTGTTGACAGTACATCAGGCTCCACCAAGCCGTTGGTGCTCTCACTTGGTCTACAAGACCATTCATCGGTAATATTCTTAGATGCCATCTTCCAGAGAATGAATATGGAAGTATAATGATTAAACTCTTGTTATGTAGGAAACATTGAGAGGGGTTGTCTCTGCTGTAACTGCAAATCGTGTGTGGTGACAACTGACAATCAAATTACCCTGGGACTTGGAGATTTTCCCACTGAACCCACAGAATTTCTGAATATCCTTTTGAATACAGCCAGGTGACATTTATTTAGGGCTGTTAGATTCGCAAAACTGATACAGCTTCAGAATTCGTATTTGCTTCTTTTGAGTACCCTTATGGAACATTGTCATCATAGAGTGTTGTGACTAGATGAACTTCTCGTTGGTGGTTTTGATCATTAGTGAGCCTCGATGCTTTTGATCATTAGTGAGCCTCGACACTCCACCTGGCTGATCAATATTACTGTTATCATTTGAGCCAAATTATTTTAGAACTAATTGTTGATCTACAAGTTGTGGTCCTTGTGGATGCAAATCATGCCTGGGATGAAAAAAGGTTTCCCATCATATAATCGTTACTTTTGTTGCGATCTATTTTTCCTAGAAATCTTTTTCATTATATTTCGAGGACCTTGAAAAGGAAACATAAGCATTTAGAGCTATGGCGAAGGGTCCGGTTTTACATTGAAAGCTCAAACTTTTTTGAGGATGGCTATCTTGGTTATGGGCGGTTAACACGAAAGGGTTCTCAAGTTGTAATTGTTTGCCTAGATTGCTGGTGCTGCGAGAATGGTTCTTGAAAAAGGCTATAAAATAATATTTGCCAGCCAATGTCAACTACGCAATGTAAATAACAACAGATCAACATATGGAATGCCCACATCAATGCGATGCCCTTCCAATCATTCAAGCCTTTCCCAGGGTTCCTGCGTTCCAACAGGTAGCTTTTTAATGGTAAGTGCAGGTCAAAACTTGTGAAATAGATTTTGGAAAAAAAAAATATTAGGGCTGACAATTAATATTTGAGGATGTAAAATTTTGAAATTCAAAACTGCAATTGGGTTTTGAACAGTAAATGAATGGTATTGTTTGTGTGAATAGTATAGTGAATGGTAAATGGTGTGGTGAACTGTTTGTTTTTTTTAATTATAGGACAGGGGGCAGACCTATGTATATGGGTGAGGGACCCAAGTACAGTGGCCTAAAAAAAGATCGAGCCTAAACTACATTTTAAAAGATTAGTCCAATTATAAACACCTTAGACGAGCCCAAACCCAGGTAAAATAACAATCTCTTATCTTCTTATCATTTATATTCATTTCAAACTCTCTTTAGTTTTTGCTTGGACCAACACCTTATTATGTAAGTTTTAACCTTTGCGCTTTCTAAATAACCTTTGACATTATGGTGGTAGTGAGCTTCCTGTGTTTTTAAGAGATTATGAATTCAAATCTTAATTTTAGAGTATTTAAGTCTGAAAAAATTTTTCGTTACAAGAGGTGGCTAGAATATTGACTAATTTAGTTCGTCATGATAATACGAATTTTTTTTGCTTTGCAAACTATTAACTATTAAGGTTAATTTTCTAATGTTTATGGGCTGTAGGGTCCTATCTAAAAAAAAAAAATCTCATTTCTTTTGTCCTTTCAAAACTAAAACTATAATTTGGCGTTCTGTGTTTTTTCACCTTTTGACTCAACATGCAGTATATTTCTATGCAATTTCATACAGGTTCCCTAATATAATTGAGGCTTGACTCTTTTGTTTTTTTTAGCCCTAATCAATGTGAGCTCGTTCGTTGAAATTTATTCATGAATAATTTATTGAAAATTCTATTTCATGATTAATTTATCCTAATAATCTATTGAAATTCTCCTAAAGAAGAAGAAGAAGATATTTGTACTGATTTATGGATTTGGCAAGTTTAAATTTTTATTGTGTGTGTGTATATATATATATATATATATATATATATATATAACAATGTATTATGAACAAATTTTTTATGGATTTTTGTATAAACAATACGAACAATGGATTGATATATACATCCAACGAAAAAATTCTAATTTTATTCCTAGAAAGTATGCGATATATCTTTTTTAGTTTCGAATTAGTAAGAGGTGCTGCTATTGGCCTGTTTATCAAAAATGTCTTAATTTTTTTTTTGAAAAATCATTAAAGAAAACAATTTATTAGTAAAACAAACACAATAATTTTTTTCCCATCAATACTATCTATTGATCTTTTTAACAATACAAGAATAAGATTAGTTAAAAACAAATATGATAGAAAAAAAAAACCCAATGAAAACAATAGCATCAGCCACTACCGTCATTGTCTTTCATATACTTTCTTAGTAGCATATCATATCCACAAATTCATCTAATTCTCCTTTAAAATCAACTATGAAATCTTGAACAAGAATTCTGGGGAAAGAAAAAAGGAAGAAGCAAATTTGAAATCCCATATGGTTGCAAGGATAGCTTGAGGGTAGGACGAGTTCGACCTCACGTAGATTGTAAGGGTTCAAACTCCATTAATCACACCGAAGGTGCTATTTGATGAAAACATCAAGGAAAGAAGAGGGCGTAATAGGGGTGCAATCAAGCAATATGGATGAAGATGGTGAAAATTTTGACAGTAATAATAATAATAATAATAAAATAGTTAAATTCATTTGCATGATTTTCATTCCACTGTAGTATTGACAAAAGAAAATGTGACACTGCTCTGAGATTTGAAGTTGTTAGAATTTGTAGATTTTTTGAATAACTAATCCTCTCACAAATTTTATCATATTTGTTTCCTTAAAAACGTCTTTTTTAATTGATTTTGAGTTTTTATTTTTGTCGATTTCAAATTTGTTTTTTTTTTTTTAATCTATATCTTAGACTTTGTTGAGATAACCTTTTGGAAACTTCTGAGATGGTGAAGGACGAGAGGCTGCAAGACTAAACACATACAAGAGATTGCAAACTCGATGGATCTTTCAGTGATTAGTGCAGCTATAAAGGTTTCAAAGACAATGATGATTTACGTCACAATAATTCAAGTGGAAAAGAACGTTTGGATCGCAAGAAATTATAAAACTGATTCTTTTGCCCTTTATTTCGAATTCCCTGCTGCTAGTAACAAAATAGCAACATGGGCAAAATAGTTGGTGCTTTGTGGTGGAACATTACGATCTCTAGTGTCACTTGGAATGTTTTGCATCGCAATTGTAGGCTGTAGCTGAAAGATTGGAAAGGAAAAAAGAAATATAATAATATATTATGAACAGGGAACCGCAACCACAAGGACAAAATAAATTACAGCATTATAAACCTCATCTTGCTCTTGACTAAACGCAAAAACCAAAAGGACAACCTCGCCCAAATCATATGATAAAGAAAATTTAAAACTTCTGGAAGATCATAAGCCTCATTTCACGCCATTAACATAGGTATCGGGATTAAATTTTTAGCCCACTGGCCAAGGCAAGCATTTCCCAGCAGCAAAAGGAGAAACCATTCTCTATTTAAGCTTGGTTGCCGCCACCACCCCTGGGGTGATTGCCCATCCTTCCACGACCACGACCACGGCCATAGCCTCTGCCCCCTCCGCCTCCACCCCTGCCCCCTCCCCCTCTGCCTCTCTCATATCCAGTTCCTAAAACAATCAAGTCATCAGTACATAGTTTTGCACGTGTACATAGAAACTAGAATAGATGCCCACAGCCCAAAGGCATATGAAGCACGTCTATAGTTATAGAATGCAGGAATTAATACCACTATCAAAGTGAAAGATTCACATTTTGCATTAATGCATGCTAATCAAATGCCCAAAGCAATCATGCAAGTATAAATTGATCTAATACAAGATTTGATGCCAACTTCGAGAATTCACAGCCAATGTCAACATGAGCATTTTGCATGAATATTCAGTTATAGGAGAACTTACCACGATAACCCCAACTCCTGCCTCGTCCCCCACCACGGCCCCAATTTGAGTAACCACCATTATCTATTGGAGAAAGTGTGAATTGAGGGTTATTCTATGCACTCACAAAACTTGGACAAGTAAATGAAAATTAAAAAAAACCACACTTTCAATACCTTGATGTTCATAACTTATACCTTGATAGTTTCCCTGATAGCCCCCTTGGTAATTTCCCTGATAGTTTCCTTGATAGCTACCCTGATAGTTTCCATATCCATATCCACCCCGGCCCCAGTTCCGTCCTCTCCCTCTACCACGTCCCCGGCCATATGAGTCTAAAGGTTATAATTCATGTTAGGCTAAAAATGATACGTCAACCCTGCCATTAGTCAACTTGTTTTCAATTTACCTTCAGGAACAGCATTGTAAGGACCACGTGTATGTCTAGGTTGTTGCTGCTGCTGCTGCTGATAATGCTGCTTTGGTTGTTCCATGGAATATGGAGCTTGGTACCTGGAAACAAAAGCTATCCATAACATACAAAGTGCTAAAATGGTCCAGCAGAAAAATCAATAGAAGTGCATAGTGCGCATCAATTAGTACAGGCGACTGAGAAATCTTAAAAAGGCAGGTCATCCACCCTTAACTGACAAAAAAAATTTCTTCGATTGGAGTCCCTGAAAGTAGCATATTTAGGCAGAGCTTTTAAATTATCCCAAACCATTTAATTATAAGTGTAAAAAACCATCCAAAACATTTTCCCTGCCCATTCTACTAGCATTCCTGATCTCACTCTAGTTAACAACAAAATGGACAAATGAGCTTACCCGGGAGACATTTTGTTCAGCTCTCTGAAAGATAAGGTGATTGTAATCATTGAGACCTGGCGTGTCTGTTCCACACTGCAGCAGACATTAATGCTCAGGAAGACTTTTTGGTCAGCACTAAAGCATCAAGCACACACTCAAGCAAAGAACTGGATATGATAAAACAGATTCTAAAAACATACGGTACAAGGCCCTCTTCTATTGGTTCCCAAACATCAGTTATGCTCACTGAGCTGATGGCAGTATCTTGGTGCAAACGAGGATTTCTCCGCTGTATTAGGGTAAACACAGCTAGTTAGTTCCACATGTTTCTTTACAGGGAGAGGGGAGCAGGGGGAAAGATACTGGTGATTCAAAAATATCAGTTTGAAAGGCAGGCCCACCTTTATATTTTCAGCTACAGATACTGTCTTGCTGATTGCCTGTCCCATGGCTTTCAAGACAATCTCCTTAACATGTTTCTCCTGGAAAAATCAACATCATATCATAATAGAGATGCAATGAAAGTAATTGGACCACATTGTAATATTGGAGGTCACATAGCACCTGAATGAAGAAAATAAAGACGTGCAGTGGAAGAACAGAGTCCAAAAGCCCCAAGACATAACACCGAAAACGAAAGAAAAGGACACTGCCAAATAGTTATGATGAAAGTTATAAAATCAATTTCAACTCGTTTGCCTACTCAATCAAATTGGAAAATATTGAAAACAATAGCTTATCTGACAGCCTTTTATGTATGCTTGAGACTATTGTTCTTTTCTATTTAAAGACTCATTTTGTTTCATTAACAGTTAAAAATAATGATGTTGGCCAGTATTTTTCACTTAAATGCTAATGATCAAGACAATGTGTCAGGAACATTAGGATCAATTTGCCAAAAACCAAATTTAGTACTGAAAACAACCATATTTGTTGAAAATGAAGCCATTTTGGGTTCTTAGAACTCAATCAAACATGCTAATGTGATAAGACAGTCTCATCCGGGAGAGATAACAAAATTCAGGCAGAAAATGCTCTGTGCTGTGACAAAACACAACTATGCCCCATTAACGTGAAAACCAAATACACATAAACCAAAACCCCCTCAATACCCAATATGGTTGACTGGGGTTTCGACAAAAAAGATAATCATAAGAATCTACGAAAGAAATAACAAGCAAAACGAAAGATTAGACAGAAAACACAAACAAACAAAACTACCCATAACCCAACACAGATACAACATGCACCCAAAAACTAGAAACCTCAGTAAAACCAAATTTAATAGCAGATGAAACCATTATTCCAATTAATCACAGCCAATATAAATTTAAAAAAAAAACATGTTAAATGAAAGAAAGGGAGGGGAGTGGCACCTGGAGAAGAGAAGTGGCATAGCTGATATAGTTACGGACGGGGCCACCAGAAGTGATACGGATCTCATTCTCGTTAATGGGAGACTCAGGCTTTGGTTTTTCGACTCGGGTGTATCTATCCATGGCTTTGGTTTGTCTTGTTCAGAGTATATTAGTGAGTGCACTGCTGTAGTGGCAGTGGTAGTAGCAGAGGGAGAAACCCTTTAAAACCCTAGGCTAAGGCAAGGAAGCAGAGAATATTTTATAGAGCCAAAAGCAATCCTAACAATATACCACTACTTTACTATTTATAATATAATAAACAAGGAAAACTCTATTTAATCCTAAATCATATTTTCAAACGGTATCAAGGGCTTTTTTTTTGCTTAAGAGTATTGCATTTTGTAATTTCGGATCCAAAATATGAAATTATATAATTTAAACATATATATTTGAATCAAATTGTTCAATCTCTATTATTTTTAACGATCAACTGATAGTTGATCGTTACTTGATTTTTTTGTTTTCGATTGAAGTCAAGGCCGATCTTACCCCTTTTAATTCCTCTCCTAAAAAAATAGGTTTCGAATGGAATGATTAATTGAAAAGGACGAAGGGGAGAGATTGTGAGAGTTTGCGAGGTTGATAGCGATTTTACGAGAGTTGTATTTTAACGGTTAGATTTCGGTTAGTTTTTTGGCTAATTGAAGTGAATTAGAGGTAAAGAGAGTGAGTTAGGTCTTTGTCAAAATCTTATACAAGTCTTGTCATCTTCTTAAAATTTTAACCGGGATTGAGAGAATTAATGACTTCCCATTCATTTTTTTTTCTTCTTTTAAATCATAAAATGCAAAACTCTCGAATGTGAAAAATATTTCTCCATTGTTCATTAAAAAACCTCGGCATGATTATCACGATGACTCACCTATGAGATATTGTAAATGTGGACTTTTAGCTCATCGATGAACTTCTTGGAGTGATAATAATCCAAGTGTGAGATTTTTCACTTACCCCAAATTCAACACGAGTAGATGGCGAGTACAAAATACAATTATTTTCGGTTTCAAGATCCTATGATTAGAGGAAGAACAAGATATGTAACCAATGCTTTGAAGTATATTGAAAAGAGACTAGCTATAGAGAATAAATTTCTATTGAGAGGAAATTTGCTTCGAAGAAAGAAGATTATCAATAGTAATGAAGACGAAAGAAGAAGAATTCTTGATGTAACCACTATGTTGGTTATTCGATTGCAATAATTGTGATGTTAGTTTGCTTGTTGGTGGTTAAGTAGAATGTAATTGGGATTAGGTTAATGTTGACTAGGTTTATTCGATGGGTTATGATAATTTTGTAAGGTGTCTAGAATGGATCTTACTTAATAAGATTGTTTGTAAGTTTATGCAATTGATGGGATAACAATGTTGTTGTTAGGCAACAAATGTACTCGGTTGAATGTTAAATGTACCAATTGAATATTCAATGTTAAATGCATTAAACATTATGTGAAAAAAATTATAATTTAATGTTGATTTATGGAAATTAACATGTTAATGTATGGACTTTTTTGTTGAATGTTGAAAAGAATGTTAATTGTTATGAAAATATAGTGTTACGGATAAATGTACAAGTTTTTTGTTGAATGTTTAAAAGGAGTGTTGATCGTTATGAAAATAAAGTGTTATGGATAAATATGCAAGTTTTTTGTTGAATGTTAAAGACAAATGTTAGTTGTTATGGAAATAAAGTGTTATGGATAAACGTATCATTTTTTTTGTTGAATGTTGATTGTTATGTTAAAGAGGAAGAGCAAAAAAAATCTAAACAATTCTGTAGAAATCCTTTAATTCTATGGTGATAAAAGGAGAAATGGATAGTAGAGAGTGAAAACAAGAGAATTCAAATGATTTTCGGTTCCGGGTTTTTTCTAGGTAGTGTTTGAATTTTTAGGCTTGAGGATGATTTTTTTTTTTTTTGGTTTGGGGATGAATTTATGGGTTTTTTTTCTTTGAAGTTCAGGTTTTGTTCTTGAATTTCTAGGCTTGTGAATGAATTTCTTGGGTTTTGTTCTTGAATTTTTGAGAAATTCATCCCCAAACCTAGAAATTCAAACATTATCTAGAAAAAACCTAAAAAAATAAGAATTGAAAATCATTTGAATTCTCTTATTTTCACTCTCGTTATCCATTATCCTTTTTTTCACCATAGAATTATTCATTAATTCCGCAAAATTGATGAAGAATTTTGCAAAAAACACTTGAATTCTGCAAAATTGTTTGAATTTATGTAGAATTGATGAACAATTCTATAGAAATTCAAGTGGTTTTTTATAGAATCGTTCATCAATTCTACAAAATTGATCAACAATTCGATAGAAATCATCAATTCTCCCATAAATCATCCAAAAATTCCAAACAAGCATCCAAACTCCCCAAAATCATCCAAACTACCAAAAATCAAAGAAAATTTCCATAAAGCATCCAACTAGCAGTTCATTAACAAAATAAGAATGCTTCAAATCCATTAACAAAAAAAAAAAAAACAACAACAAACATATCCATTAGATATAATTCACATTCCGAAATTCAAATTAATGGATTAATTATATATAATTAACTATTCAAAATAGAAGAATGATCCATTAATAGCAAAAAAAAATTATAAAAACATCTATCATTTTCCATAATGTTCTCAAACACCAACAATTCATCCTTTATTCTTTCTCGGTTTTCCTTTTGTTTTGACGAGTGGATTGCTTAGATTTTTACCCCTTCTCCTTGGTTCAAGTTATTGTTGAGTTTCTTATTCATCTAGAGGTTGAGTGTTTGGATGTATAACTTGTGAAATCAATTTTCCAAGCTATACAAATTGTAAACACCAACAAAAACTTAGTTATAACCAAGAAAATACACATTTTTAGAAATAACTACAAATTACAAACACCAATAAAAAACTTACATTGCAAATTGAAAATCCTGTAGTAGGATTCACATATAAGCCATATGTGTATTTAGAAACTCCTTTGTTTACGGGATTGGAGGAAGTAGTTGTGGTTTCTAATTCTTATGTTGAAATCAACTCTTACACTAGCAGTTGATCATCTAGAATTGCCTCATTTCTTGTTATATCAGTTGGTGCTATGATGTTGAAGCACTTGTTGACCCATCTTGGAATGCAAAAACCAAAAACAAAAAAGTTATTTCACATAATGTTTAATACTCTTATTAGTCATAATTAATATAAAAAATTAATAACTTTTGTTTTCTTGTTAGAACAAGTCCTTGAATTGCGATCTTTTTTTATGGCATTATGAACAATACATAAATTTTCCCTTTCTTGATAAATTCCTCCCTCCATTTTTTGCTTCCCACTTCTCTCTAAGCTTTTTATTCTTCCTTCTTCCATCCTTCTTCCTTATCGGTGGAGGGTCAATAGGGCCAAGTCTTTTTTTCTCCTAAAACTTCTTTCCATTAACGACTCGCAAAGCAAGCCGATAAGTCTTCATAAATGTCTACTTCTTATACCACTAGGATAAATGATCTTCTGGCTTGTCATCATACTTTCTAATACACGTATGGCATGGACATAAGGAATTCCATCGATATCTCATAGTTTACAACTACACTTTGTAAAAGACCAATCAACAAGATATTTATCTCTAAATTGACGGACTTCATAGCCATCATCTGCATTCCATATTAGTTTAGTAATATGAATCAAATCTCTTTGCTCTTCAATCTTGCATTAGAATTTTGGTCCATAATCTTTATTGAACCTAACCCGACCAAATTTACTTCTTTTTACTATTCTTGTCATTACAATCATTCTAATATCCTCCAACATTATAATGATTACTTTGTATCTAACTTGAAACAAGTTGCCATTAATCATTTCACGTATGTTATTTTCAATGACATCACACTTACTATGTGATTGAAAAAAGCTTTGCTCCATTTTGTCATATCAACTTGTAACAGATCATCCTTTGGTTTTTCTTTTATCTCTTTAAGTGTTTTCTCCAAAATAAGTTGGTTTGTAGCCCTTGTACATGCTTAGAATTTTTCATAAAGCTCCTTACCTTTATGTTTCCTCCTCCAATTAGCAAATATATGCCTTGCATAATTTACGTTCTCGACACATGGCATTAACTCTTTGATTGCCTTCTTAAGACCATACTAAGAAAAAACATATTAGTCAATATATGTCACCGACTACCATTTTCAAACTCCAAACTCTAAATCAAAATGTAGAATTAAAAAGTTCAATATAACAAATCTTACTTTTTGTTGGTTTGTCATCAATGCCCGATGGTCGCTTTTTCCAAACTCTATAACCGGATCTCTCATTAAGTGCTTAATAAACCATCTCTAAGTGTACTCGATTTTCACCATAAAAAATAGCCCAAGCAAAAAGAAACATCCGATTATTTTCATCTCTTCCTATAGCAATTAAGATCTCACATTTATACTTTCATTTCAAAAAACATCCATCCATTCCAATGATAAGCATGCATCTTGCCTTAAATCATATTTTAAGTGCATTAAAATAAATATGCATAGCCTTGAGCACTCGGATTACCCCCACTACTAGATCCGATAAACCATATTTCAATGGTGCTTATTTTGTTACTCCTCTTCGACTATTCTAAGTAATCGTGTATCATGGAGTATTCAACACTTTCGTCACCATGAAAATGCATCTCTGTAATTTCATTTGCTATTCTAGCTTAGTTAAGACTTATGTTACAACATAATTTCTCTCTAGCTTGTATTTTCACATCTTTTTTTAATCCATTTTCAAGGCAATAATCCTAAAGTTTTTAATTAAGTACTTTGAGACAATCTTAGCCTTAATCCTTTTATTCTTACATGCAACCCGACATGTATATTCATCTACATATGTTATAAGTTCAAAGTTACATGTTTGCCTTTTATATCTTACATAGTACACCCATTCACATTTCGATCATTATACTTTGCTCTAACTTTTTATCCGTCATGCTTGACAAATTCAATCTCACTTCTTTTAACGAAACAATGATCTTTTAAAGCTTGAATGATTTGTTTCTTATCCGTAAAAGCCATCCTAAATGAAAAATGAGAATCTTTGATAGTGTTATCAAAATACACGAGCTTTGGAATTTT